TGGAAGTATTTAAAAGACGTGTAGATGAGGTGCTTAGGGACATGGTTTAGTGGGCACGGTGGTGTTGGGTTGACGGTTGGACTTGATGATCTTAGAGGCCTTTTCCAACCTTATTGTTTCTATGATTCTATGATTATTGCCACCCCTCTCCGGAGCAGGAGCCACGTTGGGTCTCAGCGCTGTGGAGTCTCTATGCCCCCTGCCTGTGGGGCTGAAGGGTGGTGGATGGAGGGGTTGTGCTGTCCCCATCCAGGGTTGGGGTCAACATCCGTGGGGCTGGCATGGAGGGCTGGGGGTGCTGTGCACACACACTCACAGGTGCCCGGTCCTCTGCTGTGCACAGCCCGTCTACCCTCTGCCTATGGTCCCCACGCTGCATACAGCCCATACATTACATACAGCCCCCGTGCTGCATATGATCCCCGTGCTGCACGTGACTCCATATGCTGCAAGTGTCCTCCACGCCGTAGTGCAGCCCATACACTACATATAGCTTCAGCACTGCATATGGCTCATGCACTGCATAGGCCGTATATGGCCTCCTTGCTTTAGTTAGCCCATATTCTGCATGTGGCCCTCACACTGCCTACAGACCCTATACTGCATATGGCCCATAGGTGATGTGGCTCATAAGCTGTACATGGCCAGATGCTTCGTATGGTTGTTACACACTTCATATATATATATATATATATATACACTTTATATGGCCACAGACTGCATACAGCCCCCGTGCTGCATACAGCCCCCACTCTGCATACGGCCCATATCTCATATGCTCCATATGGCCGTCTGCTGTGTATGGCCCCCAGCTGCGTACGACCCCGTGCTGCATAGGGCCCCCACACTACCTATGGCCACGTGCAGCCACGTGCTGCACCCTGCCCCTGGGCGCACTACAGCCCCCGTACCCACACTCCCAACACCCCGCTCGCACCCACGTAGACCCCCCCCTACTGCTCCCACCCCATACAGGGCACATAGGTCTCCATTTGCATAGCGGTGCTGCCACCCCCAGGGCCAGCACCTGTGGGTGCCCCCAGGAGAGCTGCAGCAGGCACGGGGGAAATCCTCCCCCACAGCCAAAATTCTCTGCTAGACCCCAGAGAAAAGGGGATTTCACCCCCGTTGTGCTGTTCTTGGCCCAGCACCCGCAGCAGCAGCTCTCCGGGAGACTTTTCCATGGTGTTTTCTCCAGAAGCATCCAGCCACTGCTCCCGGTTTAGGTACTTCTCCCTGCTGGCTGCTTTCCCCATCCCACCCGGGACCTTTCCTCCCTCCCTGCAGGTGCCTGGCCGGCCCCGGACGCCTGTTTCCAGGACGTGAACATGGCTGGCAACACCTACGGCAACTGCGGCAAGGACAGCCAAGGGCGATATGTGAAATGTGACAAGAGGTGGGTGCAGCGTTGGCACCCATGGGTGCCCCATCTCCTCCTCCTGCACCCGCAGCCCCCCGCTGCCCACCCCTGCGACGGGGCTGGTGAGACCCTACCCCGGCCTCCTGGCATCACCCTTTGGGCCAGCTCCGTTTGGCACCTGAGGAAGCCACCAGGTCCTTCCTGGGCTCAGTCTCCATCACTGCTGGGAGGTTGTCCCACCAGGCATCACCTCCCAGCCCAGCCTGAAGGGAAAATCAAAGACAGCATCAGCAGGAGATGCTATTAAGGGAGCGTGTGCTCTCCAGTATTCCCAGTTAGACCAGAGATGTTAGAGAGATCCCCCCGCCTGTTCCCTCCAGCATTTCTCTATGCTCTCCATGATTTATCTAAGTCCTTTCCGAACCTGCTGAGCCTCTCCCATCACAACCTCCCATGGCCATAAATTCAGGGGGAGGTGAGTCAGGAAGCAGCGGGGCAGGGGATGATGGGGCAGGGAGGGTGAAGGAGCGGATACCCACATCTCCTGCCCTCACCTCGGCTGTGTCCTGCTCCTAGGGATGCTATGTGTGGCAAGATCCAGTGCCAGAGCTCAGCTAAGAAGCCCCAGGGGACCAACACTGTCTCCATCGACACCACCATCCGCTTCAATGGGCGGGAGGTGAAGTGCCGAGGCACCTACATGTACACCGCAAAGGACGATGAGGAAGACCTCTCTGACCCTGGGCTGGTGATGACGGGGACAAAATGCGGAGATGGGATGGTGAGTACCTCTTCCTAGGGCTGGGGTCTCCTCCAGGAGATCAGCTCCTTGGCTCTTGTCCCAGCTCCAACGTAGATATTGGTTCTTCTCTGCGTTACAGCCGGACTGTGGGACGTGGTTCCCCCCACACTTGCAGGCATTGCCATTGATGACATGTCAACCGGGACATTTCTAGACATCACCAGATGCTTGTGTGTAGGCCACCAAATTCTTCTCTCTGGCCTCCATGCTTCTTTACCGATTTAATACATAGTGGAGCAACCCCAAGAATTGCATGCCCCAGGACTTGATGGATGAGGCTTCCTCCTATGAATAAACTGTTTCCCAGGGGAAAGCTGTGTTGGGAATCAAGATGACAGATCCAAACAGATGCTGCTAACTGAGCATTAGTCTCTTTTACAGCCCCTGCATCTCCAAGTACTTTACAGAGGGTCAGTTCAGCTGAGAAAGGGCAGAAGCCCGGTAGACAACACGGTAGCAGGGATGCACGCCAGACAGAGCTGGCTGCGGAGATATGGCCTTTGCTATTTGGCATTTTAATTGTGAAATTTTCATCCCAGTTTGGGATGGAAGGCCAAAATGTCGACATTTTCATGGGAAAGGATGGCTGGTTTTGAAATCCAGTGTTGGTTTTTTTGGCTGGTGCCTGCGTTTTAGGGCCAGATGGGAAATGCCTTCTCCAGGAGCTACCAGGTGGGTTGTCAGGGGAGGGGGTGGGAGTGGTGGTGGCTGGTGTCCGCTGAGCCATCCTGGATGGGGGAGTGGCAGAGGTTTCCTGGGCTGTGCTGAAAATCGGAGTGAAATGCATTGACCTGGAACAATACGATTTAACCAACCTGCATTTTCCAACAGACAACATCCTTCCAGAGGACTTCCATCTGTGAAGCCAGAAGATCACTGTCCCCCCTCTCTCTGGTCTTTATCTAACCTCAGCTTCTTGGCTCTCTCTCAGGTTTGCAAAGATCGCCGGTGCCAGAATGCCTCCCTTTTTGAGCTGGAAAAGTGCGTTTCGCGGTGCAACGGCCATGGGGTGAGTTATTGCCTGAGACCTACAGCAGGCTCCTGAGATGAGCGCAGAGTCTTAAGCAAAACCAAGTGTCTCCCACAGGGATGAGCCTTGCAATGCAGTGGGCATCTGCTTCTCATAACTGTCTAATGCATCAGCTGTGGGTGAGACTGAGCTGAGATCTTCGCTCACCCGTGTCCAAGTTAGAGGAAGAAGATCATTTGTGATGCAAGGACCATCTGCAAAATTTGGATCAGGGTCCAAGTTCAACTGGAGGGCGTTTAGAGCTCAGAGCAGGTGCCTGTTCCCTCTGAGAGCAAAGCAAGGGTTAGAAACACAACTGGGACTGCAGAAAGGCAGGGAAATGGTTCAGCGAATAGAAAGAGCCACTATTGTCCAAAGCTTAAAGGCTACAAAGATTTGACCTCTGCAGAACGCAGGGCTTTGTCAGATAAGGCACCAACAACCTGCTGTAGAAAGTCACTGCTGGATTACGTAGAGAAATGGGGTAGGTAGAACACCCAAATTTACCTTTCCATTCTGCTCAGCATCGTTAAGGCTCTTGGTTTGGATTCTCTGCTTCAGAAATGCTATGGTTTAATGGGAAAGACCCTGAGGGGAAGGTGTTTAACAAACTTCTGGCCCAGCACAAAGTATTAAGAGCATCAGGCTTATCTAGTCAAGCAGTTTGAAAACTGAGGGTATAAGATACCTGTCTTCAAGGTTTCTGCAAAGGGCAGGGAAATAAAAGTATCAGCTGGAAAATACCTCTGTATATTGCAATCACAGATTTGAGGGCAACACAGACACGATCCAAGTGATGTTCAAGGGGTAACTATTGGCAGGGGTTAAGCTCCTTCAGCCCAGACTCCTGCCATTGGCCATCTGCTCTCTTCCCCACCGTACAGGCCATCGTTTCCATACATCCCTTGTGGTCTTCAACCCTCCTTCACTCTCTGCAGGTCTGCAACAGCAACAAGAACTGCCACTGCGATGCCGGCTGGGCTCCCCCCTACTGCGAGAAGCCGGGCTTGGGTGGCAGCGTGGACAGTGGCCCTGTGCAGCGTGACAGTGAGTCGTGACTTCTCATCTGGTGCCTTGTGCTGCTGGTGGGGCTGGAGTGATGCCACGAGACGGGGAAATGGGGCGATAAAGCTGCTGACAGCTCTGCTCCCAAATGTGCTGGGTTGGGCCCATTCAGGCAGACTCACAGCCTGTGCCCAGCTCTGGTTGCTTGGTGGCCACTCGTTTTTATCAGAGGCCACCGGATGGTACTGCTCCCTTTTTGGAGGTGTGGTCAGCAATGATGTCTCTAGCCTGGGTGGCCGGGAATGGGCTGATGGGATCGACGTTTCCATCGAGTGAAGCCGGAGG